TTGGGCCTAGACCCTTCTTCAGAAAAAATGAAAAAATTTTTTCTGAAGTAGGGTCTAGGCCCAAAACGTCAGCCTTCCTGCTCCTCTGATGCTGCTTGGCCTGCTGTGTTCATCCAGCTCTACACCTTGTTGTCAGTGTCTTACTTTATTTCCTTAATTCAAAAATGACCTGCATTTACTTTGATATCATTTACATAAGGTGCTGTGCATGACCTTTTTCCAAGCTTGACAAACTATATACTTAGTGACAGCATCAGGACAGCGATGGAATTATCTGCTTGTGTAAAGTTGCAAAAAAATCCACATTTTTACAGGTATTGCCATAAGGGCTCTAAGCATAAAATCAAAAATCTTATAGGAATGAAACAAACAATTTGGCCCATTTCTTCTCTGTTGGCTCATTGAAATCTCAACCAGTAGATCACACTTCCTTCCTTTTTCCTTATATCCCTGCAGACTTCACAATTAACTGGAAATCAGTGCTGCTTTTTACATATGATCATATATAGCTCGAAAATCAGGACTTCCTCTTATAACGTGATCTGAAATATGGGGGAATATGAGTATACTTCAAATGTACCATTTCTAAAAAATTGTTTCAAAACTTTATTCAATCACATTATCATTACACCATCCAAAGTTTTATTTTGAGATAACAAGGTGTAGAGCTGGATGAATACAGCAGGCCAAGCAGCATCATAGGAGCAGGAAGGCTGACATTTCGGGCCTGGACCCTTCATCAGAAAATTTATATTTTTATTTTGTTATTTCTCTGCCTTCAGTTCGTTGAGCCATCAGTAACTTAATAATGGCCAGACTACAAAAGCAGCTGAATTAGATCCAGTAAAATGAAAACAATTCTTTGTATAGCACTGCTGAACATTTTGGAACCATACCTTTCTAATCCTCTGACATATTTTAGGGTAAAGAACCTCCAGTCTGACCTGCATTTATAGCAGTGTGATATCAACTGATTATTATTAATTCTTTGTAACTGCCGCCTCATCTTCAACAGTTATTCATTCCAAAGTCATTTGGTAAATTGGCCTCCACAGTCTTTTATGGTACAGAATTCCACAAGTTCACTACTCTTTGAACTAATTTTCCTCATCTTGGTCCTAAGTGGTCTACCCAGTATTCAGAGTTGTCTCTGCCACCAGAGAAAGTATCCTCCTAGCATCTAGTCTGTCCAACACCAGTTCAAATTTTATATGTTCCAGTTGGATTCCCTCTCATTCTTCTAAACTCTAGTTGAACTAATCTCTCCACATGGCAAAGTCTTACCATCCCTGCTCTCAACCTAGTGAACATTCGCTGCACTTTGTATACTTCAAGTATATCCTTTCTCAAATAGGGAAACCAAAACTGCATGCAATACTCCAGGTGTGGTCTCAAGGCCCTCTTTAACTGCAGTAAGACATCCCTACATCCGAACTCAAATCCTCTTGCAATGAAGGCCAAAGTGCTATTTCCCTTTAATTGCTTGCTGAATCTGCCTGTCTACTTTTGTTGACTGGTATACAAGGACACCTCGATCCCTTTGTACATCCACACTTCCCAATGTGTACAATGAAATAATTATAAGGAAATCTGTTCTAGTGATGTTGGTCGCAAGATAAATATTGTTTGAAAACTAGGGAAAATTTGACTGCTGTTCTGTGAAGCTATTACAATTCTTGCATTGCTAATCAAGCCCTATTATTCCACAAGCCTCACCAAAAAGGTTAAAGTTTCATTTAATCACCAGAATAGTTAATTTTGTATCATTATAGAGAAGAAATGTATATCAGGCTTTTGTTATTAACTTAAAAACAATTCCTTTTTCATAAACCAACTTATTCTTACAATAAATGGCAAAACTGGCTTATGGCTAAATTAATATTTGGAATTAAATTATATTCCCTTAATCCACAGCACAAACATTTACATGACAGATAAAACTACACAGTTTTGCCCAGATGTGGTTTATAACAAAGAAGAAAAATAAACTCTGTGTTGGGCCGAGAGTCCAAACTCAAAGGATAAAATGTGACGATGTCTCACAGGCTAGTCTATTTCCTGTAGATGAAATTGAAATGCTAACATCTGCAGAATTGACGAGATCTTCAAATCAGACCTGTGTCCAAATAAAAGTCGGGTATAAATCTAAAAGTTCTACAAAATGTTCACTGAGAGAGAGATCTTTGTAGTTGGTTCTGCTTGAGAGTTTGCTGCTTACATTTCAGGAGGCAGAAATCTCTCCCTTGTTCAAAGGCAATTGGGACACCATTACTGGGGCAGCTCAAGAGGAGATCAGCAGCATCAGTGATGAGGATTTTAGGGGTGAAGAAATGAAGAAATTGGACATTAGGGATGATGTATTAGAGGGCAGTGATGCCTACATGGACTAAAAGCAGATACCTTGTTAAACAGAGGGATACAAGCAACCACTTTCAAACATTTCAATGACTAATCTGCCTCTTGAGAGTGGGTGGATGTCTCACTCCTCATATGCCTCTGTTAAAACCCAAAGTGAACAGTTCAAGATGGGTTAGGTCACTGTTTCATTTTGTTTTAAGTTAACCTCCCAATTTATCTAAACCCAATTGTTTTCAGATCAAGTAACTAAACACCTTGGAAATGTTCAATTGAACAAAAAGATCCAGCATGGAATTGTAGAAGCCATTCCTGACAAACTCAGTTGAATTTTCTTGGAAGAAGGACTGAAGTAGTTGACAAGAAAGTACTTGAGCTCTCTGCACAAATGCAGTTTAAAGAGTATCATACATCCACCAAGGTAGGGTAAGGAGGAAGATTACAAATCCATCCTAGTTGGAATCGAGACTGAACAACAAGCTGATGGTACCAATCTGATCCACACCAGCTATCCGACTAACTGACCCCTAAAGAGTTTGAGTTGCTGTAGCATACAATTTGGAGCTCCAATTTGGAGGATGTTCAATGCGTAGGAAATTATATTCAATGACCTTACTGAGTCATATGAACTTTTATAGCACTAAATCCAGGTCCTTGGGGTCAAGTTCTTGGATTAATATCATAGAACACAGAACCATATAGCATAGGAATGGCACTTCAGCCCACGATGTTGTGCCAAACATGACACCAAATGGAACTAATCCCTTCTGCCTGCCATTGGTCCATATCCCTCCATACCTTGCATATTTATGTGCTTATCTAAAAGTCCCTTAAATGCCCTTATCGTATCTGCCTCCGTCACCTCCCAAGCAGTGCATTCCAGACTCCTACCACTCTCTGTGTAAAAAATTTGCCCCTCACATCTCCTTTGAACTTGCCCCCTCTCAGCGTAAAGGCATGCCCCCGAAAATTAGACATTTACACTCTGGGGAAAAGATTCTGACTGTCAACCTTATCTATGCATCTCATAATTTTATAGACTTCTATCAAGACTCCCCTCAGCCTCCACTGCTAAAGAGAAAACAACCCAAATTTTTCCAGCCTCTCCACATAACTCATGCCCTCTAATCCAGGCAGCATCCTGGTAAAACTCTTCTGCACCATCTCCAAAGTCTCCACATCCTTCCTGTAATGTGGCGACCAGAAGTGAATGCAATACTCCAAGTACGGCCTAACCAAAGTCTTATAAATGTGCAATCTGACATCCTTATACTCAGTTCCCCGAACAATAAAGGTAAGCAGGCCATACGCTTTCTTTACTACCCTATCTACTTGCGTGGCCACTTTCAGGGAGCTATGGACTTGAATCCCAAGATCCTTCAGTACATCAAATCTAGCCTTAACTTTCTATATCCATCTGCTTCTCCAGGAATGGATGGCTTCCTGGATCCCTGTGCAACGATGGGCTCTGGGCTTCTTTCGCCTCCTGTATGAAGGCATTCAGCATTCCATCTGGAAACTGTGCAGCCATTGTTGCCACATTGCATTTACTGAGAAACTTTCAGCCAGTCACTTCCAGACCCCGCCAAACCCAGAATATGCCTCCGATTTAGGAGGTGCAGATGTGCTTTAAGAAGTGAAGGTTAAATTTCATTGCTGTGAATATCGCTTCAGTGTGGGTCCAATGCTGGGTGTGCACCTGCTGTCATAAGGCATGGAACATTGTGCATGGCGATTTCTGTGCTAACTAATAGGCCTTTTCAATATTCAACACCACAGAATATAAACCAGGGATTTGGGGATAATTCACCTACTTTTCATCATAATAATGTCAGAGGATCTTTTACATACACTTGAGGTGAATGGACCCTCAATTTATCAGCTTATCTGAAAGACGAATCATACCAGTAATATAATTTT